TTACATAAAAATTGTTCTTACTTCCCGACCCGCTTTGTGGACTGTGGCACCAAGCTCCTATCATACAACTTAAAGACTTCGAATTGTCTACTCTTCAGAATTGTGTATGTCGGAGTGTGGTCTAGTTCGACACTGGGGCTAATCTCTACCAGTCGTTCACAGCTGATTCTTCTCTTCGGCTTGAGTTGGACGTATTTCTTCACTTCGATTTGGTTTGGTCGAATTTCTGTTCTTGGGCTTGCTTTGATTTCAACTTCTTCTTCTTCCGTCCTGCAACTCTTTTCTGTCGACTGAGGTTGAACTGATTTGCTTGTTTGGCCTGCAACTTTACTGCCTGTCTGAGGTGGACCCTTCTCGCTGCCGTCCGGGGCTGAACTCTCTGTCGTCCGAGGAGATCTCTTCTCGCTGCCATCCGGGGCTGAACTGATTTCTGTCGATTGGGGTTCTGCTTTTATTGACGCCGCAACAAACCGGGGTGGGTCTGTCGGCGTCAGGGTTTTCTCGATAATTCCAATAGTCGCATTATTTCTGATTTCCCATTATCGCTATTATTTTCACCCCTACTTCCTCACAGTGCCTCTGGTGGGGAGGCGCATACCCATCTCTCCCGGTCTCTCGTATGTCAGGTGACCGTTTTCGACCAATGGTTCTTGATCGAGCGTCCTTTCTCCTCTTTCCCGCATATCACATGACTGCTTTCGGCTAATGAGACTCTGGTTGGGCGTGGCTTATCCCGTCCTTGTTCTGGGAAGGAACACCTTGCTAAAAAAACAAAATCCAATTTGGTCTTTTTCGCACGCACGAAAAATGACAATCTTGGCCTTTCTCACCTCCCTGGTTTCTGTCAAAACAGCCCGCCGCTAATTAGATGTGACTTCAGGAAGAATTTTTTTCCGTCTCGCTGGCGTCCTCTGTGAGCCAAGAACAATTGTTTTTTTTACCTCTTTGTTTTTGCTCAGACCTGATAGTCAAAAATCTTAATTATCTGAATTGAAAATGTCTTCACTTCATCATCGTGGGAGTTCTGATCTTTAACAGGTCAGAATCTGTACACAATTCAGCGGTCACCTTCTCATCCTAAAAAGACACTTTTCCCCGATTAATATTTCGTTTCCATTGTTCTAAAAAATCCCATTTCTCCAAATTGATAATGAGTCTTCTACACAAAAGTAGGCCAGATGCTTCGACCGACATTTTTATCAATCGCCTATATGTTCATACACTTTTACCAAGCCTGTTTTCTTTCTTTCTTTTTAATTCTATTCTCCCAAATAACAATTCCCATTGTCTTTTTAAAATTCGGTCAGGCACGTGATACCTTTTTTGACACCTGTTTTCGCTAATGACCGGCCTTTTTGCATTACTCATTCTCTTTCTCCCTTTTCCTCTTTCTTTTTCTTTTCCCCTTCTTTTCTTTCTTCCCTTAGGATCGCCTAATACAATTAGAGAATTATTCTCAAAACTCAATTATTCTTCGTCTAAAAAACTAACAACTGGTTAATAAACCGAATAAAAAAAATTAAATCATATTTCTATGAATATTTCTTTTTTCTATAATGCCAAGGTGCCACAGCGATATTAGGTTTGAAAATTGGAAAAAACATTCTCCACCCTGCTTCTGACCACCTTTCAAAATTTCCAATCCATGTGATGTCACTTGAGCTTTCTGCAATTTTTCTCATCAAAAGATTGCATGAATTGTAGTTGCCAACCACTGGATGAGTCATACTTTTTCTACCAAAGAATATGCAAGTAATAAATAGCTTTAACTGTGTTTGAAATGTTTAATTTTACCTCAAAAACTGTCTTAAATCCAGCCTTGCACTCCCTAAATTATGCCTTAGCTTGACACCAGAACAATTATCAAAATCAATATAATATTTTCTCTTGGCTCTTTTGAGTTTTAGAGCAAGCCCTGGTTAGGTAAAGAACAAAAGTAAACTGCTACAAATTAGCCTGGGCTGGTTGCTTCTATCTCCACTATTCAGAGGCTACAATGGCTGTCAGCTCAAATAGTTTTCTTTTATTATTTTAATTTTCTTATTAGACTGATTAACTTCTCTTTTCTACTCTTCCAGTTCAGTTTCACATGTGGCACTTTTTTGTTAAAATAATGATCTTTCAAGCATTGGGATATACTCCTTTATTTCTAGTGAAATTATTTCTCTTTCCCTCTCATTCTAGTTTTAAATAGGGTTTCTTCTTTGTGAAATATTACTGGTATATAATTTATTTCTGAATATCAATATTTAACAATATTTAATTTGTATCATCTTGATTAAATTATTTTCAGGTTTCTGCATTTCATAAGTTTAGAGAATGAATGACAGATTCTGACATTTGACATTTTGTTATCTATGTTATTTGATTGTGATTCATTGTATAACATGGCTGGTCCGGCTCAATCCAGGATCTTTCCCATGCTAGTCAGTACTGGTGCCAGTCAACTGATGATTATCTGTTGACCACTCCGTTCTTTCATCTGCTCAATCCACATTGTGTTCTTTGATCATAGTGTAGTCAAGATTGAATTTTCATCCATACTTAAACATTGAATTGAGTTGATGGAATTGTGCTATGAAAAAGGACAAGAATGCTTCTGCCAGTGAAAATACAAATAATGAAGAAGGCCACTGGGTTAATTTTCAATTGGTTTATATATTTGGAGCAGGTTAAACATTCACACAAGATGTTAGGTTGGGAATTCTTGGCGGCAGGTTTCAGGGTGTTCAACAGCTTCCTCGTCTGCTGTTAATTTGTCCCAGACAACGACAATTTCTGGCTTCAACTAAGTGTCCGGTTTATATGCATCTAAACCCAACTCTTACAGCCCCTCAAAGCTCATTATATATTCATCAATTAATTATTTTCTCCAGCCCTGGATACCGACCTTCAAACAAAGTGGTCAGCTATTCCAAGACAATAAACTTTTTCCCCATTTTCCTTGACATTTTATCAAAAACAATAATTTTTCCGTCAACAAACTTGTGTGTTTCAAAACAGATTCTCTTTTGTTTGTCAAATTCCAATTATGACCCAAATAATATCCTGCCCATGCTTACAAATCTTGGCTTTGCAAATTCTTTCAGCTTTACCCATATTTGCTCCCTGTCTGTCAATGACCATCAAATACTAAAATGGTCAACTATTCAAGAACAATGATCTTTCCTGATAATCAGATTTATTTAAAATGGCAATGGCAGTTTTCGTTATTGATAACAATTCTTATTTGCTTCCTTCAGTTTATATTTTTAACATTCAAATTCAACATGGACTTAACATTCCATTATGCATTTCTGTTTAACAAAAAAAAAAAAAACATTTCTGATTTTTTTTTTCTCTTTGCTTCATATTTCAGTTTGTTTTCACCTTAATGTTTTCTTTTTAACACTTTCAACTCTTCCAATTATCCAGTTCTATATGCGGTTTTCACATAAACCCTTTTAATCCTAATTTCACACTATCTGAGAAATAGCAAATTAAAGATTTTTAACCTCAATTTCATTCTTTTGGGGAATTAATATCTCTGTCAATTCCTGAAGTACTAAATATTATTTGCAACTTTAATGAGTTTTCCTTAATTATTTGAAATCCTAAATACTAGCATAATTTATTGAATAAAACTAACTTTCCTCAAAAACCTTCCTCTATTTCTATTATTCAAAGAATAATAATCTATCTCAAGTTTGCATTTTCAAGCATCTTTGGAGATAGACGAAATAATATAGTATAAGGGGTAGCTAAACTTTTATTTAAATGTCATTAACAAGTTGTACATCCTAATGTATTGATTAGATCTTAAACTTCAGTATTTTCAAACTATAATTTATTAATCACTATTAGAGTTATGATTGATATTGAAAGTAAAATGGTAATATACTACTTTGGTATCATACCAATAATTCAGTGAACAAGACTTTTGTTTTAAAGGTTTTATCTTTCTTCAGCCCCACGCTTGTTCTGTATTAACACATGTAAAATGAAGTATTTTTATGCATCATTTCCTTCAAGAAGTAAGTCTTCTATAAAGCAAAATTAATTTTCTGTTTGTTAGTTATATAGACATGTATTAAATGGATATCTAAGTATTTTATGAAAAATAAAGGTAAATTTTCAGATGGGAAAGATGTGTGTGTGTGTGTGTGTGTGTATATATATATATATATATATATATAAGTGAACATTGAAGTCAACACTCAGAGGCGGCAGGCTGTTTAATGCTAGACACAATTGTCAGTCCGTGAGTGTTGGATTTTTCCTTGACTATTTATATGTATATATGGATCAGTGGTGCATTGTCAGTGATCCATTTTGGCGGGAGTGGCTTGTTTGTTTATTTATTTATTTATTTATTTGAGTTAATTTATTTTCATTATTTTATATATTTATTTATTCTTTTCAGTTTTCTATGTTTTATTAACGTGGTAAAAAATTTTGGGTGGATTTTGCTAAATATTTGGTAAATAAATAAACAAATTACAAATCGCTCCTGTTAAAATAAGTTAGAACTAATAAAAATAAACATAAATAAGTATAATAAGCGACCTAAGCAAATCCCCCCCCAATTTTTTTACCATGTTAATAAAACATAGAAATCTGAAAAGAATAAATAAATATGTAAAATAAAGAATGTAAATAAAAAACAAATAAAAAAAAATAACCCAAATAAATATATAAATAAGCCACTCCAGCCAAAATAACTGGCAGAATGGATTACCCACAATGCACCACTGACCCATATATATAAATAGTCAAGGAAAAATCCAACACTCGCAACTTGACAATTGCATCTAGCATGAAACAGCCTGTTGCCTCTGAGTGTTGACTTCAATGTTCATTTTTATACTTATATTTACATACGCTCTATCTCTGATATTGAGCATTTTATCCTGTAAATATAGCACACCTTAAAACTATATTTCTTTATATATATATATATATATATATATTTCTTGGTATCTTTATTAGATTTGTGGTTGACAATTATATGTTTTTTGCAGTGCTTCCAGTAATGATGGGATTATGTCTAAACGTGAGTAATTATTTTCCCATGTTTAAAGATTTGCTAACTCAACTTTCAGCTGATAGTTACTGTAAGTTAGCTATATAAAAACTTAATTTCTTATTATCATCTTAAATTCATAGTTTTGTTCTTAATAACTACAGAAAACTGTTTTTTCAATTTCTGTCTTTAGAGAATGAGGAATTTTTTGTGATGATGAATAATGCTATATAAAACAAGATATATTGTTACCAAAAAGAGAATTAAAAATACTAAATTCATTCAAAATAATTTTCTGTTCTAGTCAGATTATCTTGAATATGTGCCCATTATTTGCCACTAGACTTTGCAGCAAGCAATGCAGATATTTAAACTCATTTCTTCAAAATGAGAAATTTTTGCACTAAATATTATTTTATTTTGGATAGATAATATAGCTTAGTATTTTGTATGTGCAAAATGTGAAATTAATAGATTAGCATGGGAAATTGGGTAGGGAAAGACGTACAAAACTGCAGAAATATAAAATATCATAATTGATGCAAGAAGAAGAAATTCTTTGTAAATCATAATATTTGAAAAATCATTAAAATGAAAATGTTGTTTGTATTGAATTAACAAATACAGCCAATTAATAATCAGGTAACTTTTTTTAAGTTAGCAAAAGACAACAGAGCTTAGTATATTTTGATTCTCAGTGTTTTGATATTAATTTTCATATATTTATTTCAGAAAATGGAGATCACAATGATGGACAGGTAAGTTATTCAAATTAATAAAAAATTGGAGGTCAATTTTCTTATTGTAACAATTCTGCTATTTTTATAAATCAGTGTGTTTATTAATTTGGAGTAAAATTAATAAAGGTAACTAGATTAGTATTTGATAATTTTTGTGTTAAAAATGAATTTAACTGACTACATTGATATTACTAGCCAATATCATAAAGAAGTCTTTTACATTATGTCATTACTATTGTATTGTAAAGTGTATGGGCGTTTATTTTTTTTTACCTTTTCAGCGTCTTGAAGAAATCATCCATCAGTTCCCAAATGTTACTTTACGTTCTGCTTCCATGGTTGAAAATCTCAGCTCAGTTGATGAAACTGTAAAAGTTGCAGGTAAGTTTCTGAAACTTTTGAATCTAGTCTCTAAAAAGCAAAATTACAAAGAAATGTATAAATGCAAAATAATTTTTTTAATATCGCATTTATTTCAAGTTTTTGGTTTGTCACATGACATGTGTAATAAATACTTAATCTGAATTTGTTTTATTTTAGCACATAAACTTACTGTCACTATCAAAATAATAATATCTTGATAATATTACTTTTAATCATTTAATGATATTACATAATTTTATAAATATGCTTGGTTCAAATAAAAATAATTTTTTTCTATCCACCCAGAATTTTTCATCTTTCTCAGATAAGAACTTCTCTTGGTGACATTTGCAATCTTCCAAGGAACTTAAATTTTTACATTACAAGAATTTTATAAAGACCAGAATAAATGGTAATCCGAAGATGCAATATTCGATGAATATGGCAGATGGGTAAAAACTTACCATGTGGCACCTTGCATTATTAGAAATATTCATAGAAATATGATTTAATTTTTTCTTACTCAGTTTATTAAACAGGTTGTTAATTTTTTTTTAAAAACGGAAAATAACTGAGTTGAAAATAATTCACTAAGAGTGTACTAGACGATCCTAAGGAAAGAAGAAGGAAAGAAAGGAAAAAGGAAGGAAGGGAAGAAAAAGAAAGAAAGAGAAATGTATGACGCATGACCCAATTGAGGGTGGAGATAGGAGTCAGAAAGAGATTTAGGTCAGCGTCTTGGCCGATTTTCGAAAGTCATTTTGATAAGAGTGTCGGTCAGAGCACTTGGCCTACTTTTGCGTGGAAAGACTCTTTTTAGAACAATAGAAATGAAATTTTTAATCAGGGAAAAATTTTCTTTGGGTTGAGGGGAGTGACCGGTGGAACGATATACAGACCTGTTAAGAATTGGACACCCACGTTAATAAAGTAGAGACATTTCAATGTAGATAATTAAGATTTTCGACTATCAGGTAAAACAAAGAGGTAAAAAAGAGGGACAATTGCTTTTGACTCACAGAGGGCGCCAAGAAGGCGGAAAAGACCCTTTCTAAAGTCAAGACTAATTAGCAGCGGGCTGTTTAACAAAGTCCAGGTGAGAGAAAGCCAAAGATTGTCATTTTGCGTCGACGTGCAAAAAAGGGGCAAAATTGGATTTTGTTTTTTTTAAACAAGAACGATGTAACCACGCCCGCAAACAGAGGGGAGAGGATGTTCGATCAATAACAATTGGTCGAATACGATCACGTGACCTGCGGAAGAAAAGGGAAGAAATGTTCAACCAATAACAATTGGTCGAATACGATCACGTGACTTGCGGAAGAAAAGGGAAAGAAATGCTCAATCAGGAACGATTGGTTGAAAAGCGGTCACCTGACATACGAGAGACTAAGAGAGATGGATATGCGCCCCCACCAAAGGCACTATGAGGAAGTAGGGGCGAAAACAATAGCGATAATGGAGAAGACAGAATTAATGCAGTTTTGGAATTATCGAGAAAACCCTGACCGACAGACCCACCCCAGTTTGTTGCAAGCGTCAATATAAGCAGGACCCCAGTCGACAGAAATCAGTTGAGTTGGAGTTGGAGTTGAGAGTTGGACCGCGGGCAGGGATAGAGCCTGAACGCGCCATCAGGCCCGATTCACTCGCCCCTTTGCGGGCAGAAGAATCCTCAGACAAGAAATCCTTCCAGCCCAAGTCGAAGACAGAAGAACTTCCAGCCCAAGTAGATGAAGAAGAAGATTGCCTGAAAGCCTGAGAAGAATTGGAGCTGCAGACAAGCCGAAAAGTCGATGAGAAGTTAAAGTTCATCCCGGACGGCAGCGAGAAAAGAACCCTCAGACAAGAAGAACTTCCAGCCCAAGTAGAAGAAGAAGAAGAAATACAACTCAAGTCGGAGAGAAGAATCAACTGCGTAATGATCGAGCAGAAATTATCCCCAGTGTCGAACTGAACCACACTCCGACATACATACATGATTCTAGAAAGTAGGTAATTCGACATTTTCCTATTGTGTGATAGAAGCTTGGTGCCATAGTCCACAGAGCGGGTCGGGAATTGAGAACAATTTTGTTTTTATGTAACGGACTTTAAGATATAAAAGGTTGTTACCCTTTTTTATCAGCAATTTTGTTTGGTGTCGTGAGTTTTTATTTTATTTGTGTTTTGCCACCCCCGCCGGACTCAACTTGTATCGGCCCCGATCCCTGCTGGTCCCGTCTGTCTAAGATCTAAACACAGCGTGGGTAGACAGACCGGAGATCGGTATAGTTGCTTTAGTGACCAGGTATTGGAAGCGAGTCGGGAAAGGCGAGGCTGGTGATCATCTGACCAAAGGGTTGAGCGGCACGCTTGGACCCAGGAGGAGCGACCAGGAGGAGCGACGTCACCGTTGGCGCCCGTAACCAAAGGATCCGACACTGGGCCAGGTGTGTAACCGTCACAAGTAGTGCCGTGACCAGGATCAACCCTGAGACAACCACGCCACGTATGGTGCCGTGGTGACCGAGGATTTCAACCCTGAGAAGACCACGATCGACCGCCCGTTGCTGAAAGTTCAAGCAGAAATCAGAACGACCGGGACCAAAGGAAAAGAAAGAACAGAATCGTCTGTAAGGTAGGACACCTTGTTTTGTTTCCCAACCTCGATTGTTGCTATATAGACTGTCTTTCTCTGTAGACATGTCAGATTATGAGTCAGATGGAGCAGTGGGGGGTGAAGAAGAAGTAGGGCGGGGGTTGTCAGTGGATCTAAGGAAGCTGTTGGGTGGACCGAGGGTCCCAGTATTTGATGGCAGCGGGAAGGAGTTTAAGAACTGGCTGGCAATCCTCGAAAAGAGCCGAACCATCTACGAGCTCTCGGACCAAGAAACCCTGTACCTGGCATACGATGCCACAAAGGGAAAAGCGCCGGAGTTCGTAAGGGGGCTCGTGGAGAACCAACCCGCTTGGCTTGGGAAGAAAAAAAAAACTGCTGACCAAAGAATTCGCCGACGAAGGTACGGCCATAGAGGCCATGAGGGCCCTTTTGAAACTGACACAGCTACGGGATGAAACCCGGGAGAATTAGGGGCCCGAAAGCGGGAAGTTATCGTCATTGGCATTCCCCAAGTGGTCAGGGATAATGCGGTTATGCAGGCTCAACTGGCGGACCTGTATGTAGAGGCGCTGAACGACGAAGCGTGTTCGGCCACGACGTATTGAAAGAAGGACCGCTCAGACTGTCGGCAGCGATAGAGCTGGCCAGGGAGAGCCAGGGGTGTGGGATAAAGTGAAGAGGTGTGGGAAGAAGCAGATACCAAGTCAGGAGGCTGGAAGAAGGGGGTAGGCGGAAGAACCCCGTGTGGAATCAGAGGGTTAAGGAAGAGGTGGATCGGGCAGAATTATGGGAGGAGGACCCCAATAGAAGGGCATGGTCGACCAGGCATGGCTTTTATAAGCCCACGCCGGGTCGACACGGGCTGGTCTGCTGGACCTGTGGGTACGAGGACCACAGGGGCGGCGGAATGTCCGGAAGTGGGGGTTGCCCCCAGACTTCGATCGTGACAGATGCATCAGGTGTGGTAAGAAGGGACACCTGGCCAAGTGGTGCGGGCTGAAGAAGGGTGCCCCGCCGATATTAACAAAGAAGGCTGAACCCAAGAGACCGGCCCAGGGAAAAGTCAGCGGGCCACCCCAGAATTAAGAGGGAGGGTGGCCCAGTTAAAAAGGAGAGAAATAAAAACTTGGACCAGTGGGTGGGCGAGCCGCTTGAATAGAGGACGGGTTCCCCCGAGGATAGACACAAGGCCAACCCAGTTAAAAAGAGAAAGAGCAAGATGTTGGACATGTGGTCGGGCGGGCCACTTTGCGGCAAGCTGTCCAGCAAGAAGGTGCTGGTTTTGCAGGAGGCCAGGACACCTGAAAAGAAACTGTATTCTTAGAAACGGCCATGGGAGACCGGGAGATGTCCGGCCGGGTCGCCCAGGTGCAGGGGGAAGTAGAACTCCACCTCATAAAAAAAAAAAATGAAGGTGATTTATTACTACTAGCGCCTATGGCTGGGTTAACCCAAAGGTGGGGACCCAGGAAGAAGAAAGCTCAGGTGTTCTCTTCGCTAACGCAAGAGAGAGAACTATCCTGTAGAGCCGAGATAGGTGGTAGAGAGATGAGGGCTTTGGTGGACACAGGAGCATCTGTGTCATTGATGAGAGAGGAAACATACAGGCGGGTGAAACGGAAGAGAAGGTTACGGGAAGCGGACATAGAGATCACGAAGCAGATGGGGCTCCCCTGGAGATAAAAGGGATGGTGAGGCTCCCGGTGAGGATTGGAAGGGTGAAAAGCACCCAAAATTTTTACGTAACCCCGACCTGTGTACAGAGGCAATCTTGGGAGAAGATTGGCTCCGGAGCCAGAAGGCCCAGATCGAGTTTAATCCTACTGTGTTGGTGGTGAACGGCGAGAGAACGCCATTGGGATGCCCACCAGAGGAAGAGATAACCATAGTGGTGGAGGAAGATGTAAAGTTACCTCCTAGGACCGCAGTGTCGGGAAAGGGTAGGCTAATGTCAGAAAAAAGGTACGGAGAGGACCTCTGCAGTTGGTCCCTGTAGAAGGAAAAGGGCCTAGAAGATAACGAGGTAACCCTATGCTAAACGGTAGTGGAGGCAGCCGAGTTGGTGCCCATAATGATGGTGAACCAGGCCCAAAAGACTATAAAGGTTAGGAGAGGGGAGAAGATAGGGAGAGCGCTTCCCTACTAACTCTGAATCGGGTGAGATTCGAGGAGGAACGAAGGAAGCTAGTAGAGCAAGCAAAAGGAATCTCAGATGAGGATATATTAGCACCGGATCAATTTAGAACCAGAGTGTGGGGGGCTGTTAAGGAACAATCGAGATGTGGTAGCCCAGTCAGATAAGGAACTAGGTCAGACCCACACAGTCGAAATGAAAAATCGACACGGAGACCACCCCTGTGAAATTAAAACCCTACCGAACACCTATACATAAAAGACCCCTTGTAGAAGAGGCAGT